TTTGCAAAGTCATCCAGGCATGCAATGTTTAGGCTTTGGAGCACCCACGAAGCCTCGCAAGAGAGAGCCACCAGAACCACCGGAGGCAGATTAAGCGAAGAAGCCATTCCTATGGTGGAATTTCAAAAACTGGTGCTCTCTTTCAGCCGCAATGGCTGAGTGCACCCATGTCTACATGTTTATAATAAGAGCAAGCACACCCTACCCAACCATCCATGTAGCTTGCAACTTCACAGTTGACATGCGATCATATCATCATCTTCTTCTTCTTCATGACCATGAGCATGATCAAGAAGATGACAACGATGACCACGATGATGTGTACGATGACGATGACGATGTTGATGATGATGTTGATGATGACGGTGATTATGATGCTTATGATGACAAGACCCTGAACCACGCCACACCACAAGCAAACCCGAATTCCGAACCGCTGATGATGATGATGATGCCGAACACCCCCGAACCACACCACACAGCAGGGGGAGGAGACAGAACCGGGATCATCATGATATGACATGACATGACATGACATGACATGACATGACATGACATGACATGACATGACATGACATGACATGACATGACATGACATGACATGATATGATATGATCTGCTATGGCATTCCACTCCGGCCGGACAAGGATCGTATATATGATGCAGGAGGCAGGGGTGTCGCCCGCAGCAGAGGCCAACTGGCAGCGGTATGGGTGAGGGGAGGGGTGCCATGACCATGGGGGCGGGGTGGGATACCATTTGGGGGGGGTGTGGCCCGGGACCCGAGAGCATATAAATCTATATATATATATATATTTATTTATTTATTTTTTTTTGTTTTTTTAATATGCTTCCCCCAAAAAGACCGCGCGTTTGGGCTTCATTCGGACAGAACCCTTCAAATATGACTCCATTCATCCGCAAGAACCCTTCCACCCTTCCACAGCATTGCCTGAAAGCCCTTGGTACCCACACCACGTACAATATCATTGTATATGCAATATGCGTAAACGTTTATGTATGTCTCTATGCATATGATACACGGGTGATGGACACAAAGCA